TTTTTTTTAAAATACCCTCGCTTATATAGCTGGGAGTTTTTTTTTATTTTTCATTTATTACAAGCTCCATTTATGGGTGAAAAAGTGAAATAGTTTTACAGGTACTTCTCTTGTCAGGAAAAGTATGGAGGTTTTGTACGTCCAAGAGACGTACAAGTAATTCAGCCTGCAAATGATGTTGAGATGGAGGAGATTTGACGTGATTTGCACGACTGGTAGCCGGGTTATCTTATCTTTTGTATTCCGGTTTCGGATGTGAAACAGATCTCCGAAATGTCCTTACTTTGAGCTTGATGGCTTTGACTTTTTGTAATCGCTACAGTTTTTGCTCTACTGTTTGCTGATCTGCTTATTCTTTATCATGTTTGTGCATTGCCATTTAAGTATAAGGAGGATTTTGAACATTTATGTTCCGGCCAGCGGATATGTAACTAGATAGCACACGAAAAGGATTTAATTTATGAAATCGTGCCATCAGTGAGTTAAAGTTGGTCTTCATTTTATGGTCAGATTTTCTTCAAAATCCAACAGTTAAAGCTCTAAAGTGACGAATGTTCGTAGCGAGCACTGTAATGGTTTTCCGAGAATGCTGATAGAGGCCAAAAAAGTACATATAAGAGGAGAGTAACTCTGTATCCTGTTACTTTCTTGTGTTCTGGTGGCTAAAGGAAATGACCGTGTATTGCTGCTTATTGCTATGCATATAAATTTCCCAGTGATCTGTCTGTTCTTGCGTTACGTTTTACTTAAACTTATTTGCAGATTACCTCGTTCTCTGACTTTTTATAGTTATTTTTTGAGTGGTGATCTTCGTTTGGGGTCTTTTTTCAAAGGACGCGCCTGAAATTGATTTCAGGTTACTACTTGTTTTCTAAACCGAGGTGATAAGCTGTCGGTGATTAAGCAGCTATTTGATTATTGCAGGCCTGAACCGTCACTTAACTTTTACCTTCACTGTGGAAAAGTTACGGGTTTGGTGCACTGTACGTCGACCGTAGCCGTCACTTTTTAGTTCGAGGGCCATAAACTCGACATTGTTAAATGTTCGCTTAAATTGGTACTGGAATTCGAGAACTTCTATTAAAAGTTGGGGACGTATTACTAAATTTCTCCGCTGGTTAACCCGCTTATCTTTTGCCTTATGGTTGGTGCGAGTTCCATTTCTTCATTTCTTCTGCAAGGACAAGTTTCTTTCATGTTTATGACAGAACTCGTGTTTGACCTTTTTCTTGCATAAGTTCACACACTTTATTCTTATCCTTCTCGGCAATGCTTAAGAAAAGTTTGTAATGAGAAGAACAAAGCAGATTTTCCATAGAACTTTAATTGTTTTGAGCGAACTGACCACATAAACTACAGTAGCAAAGGAAGGAAGCAACTGCTTCAGAAATTGTTCAACCTGGCCCGTTGACACCAAATGATCACGAAAGGAACGGAAAGGAAGTTGGAACAGTAAAAAAGTTTCTAGACCATAAACTGGCAGAAACGCCACGTCTGAAGATTGGCTAAACTACTTTGGCAATATCTTTCTGCTCGTAAACTGGCCGGAGTATTTCGGACTGTCTGTCGCGCTTATCGACAGTTACATTAATTTTGTATTATATGGGAGTAATCATAGGCAGTACTTCAAAAATTAGTGGCGTAACAGACTTACAGGATTTTTTAGGGTCTGATAAAGATACAGAGGCTATAGGTCAGAAGCATGAAAGCCACAATTCGGAATGCATAAAACTGCACTTCTAACAAATTATGCAGAAATTTTAATGGACTAATTACGTGGAACTAAAAAAAGACACTAATTTACAGCTAGATTTCTTTACCTGAACTCTGGGTTCTAATAACTGAAAACTTATAAGAAGAAGAAAGGACCAAAGATACATGGAATGCCAAATGAATGGAACACGTAGGTAAAGAGATCGATGAGCAGTGATGTTAGGAGATCAGGTCAAGAACCAGCAATTGTGGCAGCGCAAATGTATTCTATACGGAAGCCTGATCCGTTGTTGTCTGTGCTGTTGTCCGTCGTGAAGTCTAAAGTGAATGAAGAGCCTACTTGGACAGGAATGGATTGCACAGAAGCCGCCTAAAATTGCAAAAACACTATTAATTTTGGCATTAAATATTATGTGCGAGATTGTCTGAAATTTTTCTCTTAATTAATACCAGTCCCTCAATCTTGTTTTCACAGGAATTACTGTAAATAAAAACACAATTTTGAATTACCATCAAGCGAAAAATGGCAGATTAACATCCAAATGGCATAGGGAAACAGCAGCAAACAGTAGTCTTGGTTGTTGTTCAAAAACTGTTTTTGAAACTAATACAACTACTCTCGCAAAAATACTGTAAAAGAAAGTCAGCTTTATTGCAAAGCACTCACGAGTTTTCGACATGGAAGATAGACAAGAAGTGGTGGTCCTTGAACAGACAGCTTTACCGTCCATAAAAGAGTGTCCCCGGTCATGCACTTTCCGTCCACTTCTTTACCAAAACTCATGTCCTTTAAGTAAATTTTGCATTCATGCCCTGCAGGAGGGACAACTGTCCATCTAAAAGGAGAAGTTTTCTAAAAGAGGGATACTTTTTCTTTTCTAAAAAGCGAATAAAAGCAAATATCATTTTGAGAATGAGTATTTGAAGCCAGCATATGATTTCAGGTATCCTGAACAGCTTAAAGACTCCCAACTAACTGGAAATTAAGCAAATAACATACGGACCTCATCTGTTGATTCTGGCTGTATCCGTTCGGATATCCAATGCTGGTAATAGCTCCTTGCATCTCATGAAGTTCTCCAAAGTCATAAAATTCCATAGTCTTTCCTTCTGAGAATAGAGCTAAAAAAATGAGATGTTTACAACAGAAGGTAAGCGAAAAAAAATTACCGAACGGCAGTGGTATACAATTATAACTAAAATTCATCGGTTAATAGCGAAACTTAAGCGGATATACAGAACTTAATAATATTGTAGCTCACTTCGTGGATAAGTTGGATAGTAATAAGCATCGTAGCCTCTTTCATTTTCATTGAAATCTGTTTTCAGGGTTATTTGTAAACTATTCCCAGAACTGAAAAATGAAGGCGGCAAGCGCGAATGACAATATTTGGCCGTCAGGTTACCAGGTGTGTCACTAATCTAAATCTCGGGAAATTTATATCAAGACTTTATGAGGCAGTCTTGACTAAGAACAAAAACAAGGAAGTAGCTAGAGTGTCAAAGTTGCTAGGGAAAATTGTTTACCTGGACAAAATCAAAATCGCACAATAACGACTGGTGGGTCATCGCTGGTTGACGAACATGAAGTGATTCGAATCTTCGAAGGAGATAACTGAAGAGAATTAATCTTAACAATACAAGAAGAAGCGAGCTACTTTTCCACCAAAACCCTCAAAGAAGTTTCTTGACTCTCTCCATCATTGGTTGTTGTCTTAATGGAAAGTACTGTAATGGAAGTATATGTAAGCTAATAATCTCAATCTGTATAAAAAGCATCCAGAAGGTAAACGAGGTAGGATAGTTGACTCGTTATTGATATAAGACTGTCGCCAAAATACTACTATTTTAAGATTAGAATAAAGATTGGAAACCTAAACTTACTTAGGAGTGTAGTGAGGATTTCCTCCATAAAAATTTCTTCTTCCTCGTTCCAAACCAAAATCTTTAAAAACAAGCAAAATTCTATAATCTGACGGAGCTCTCAGTTTTGTTGTACATCTGCAGCTATGCTCATATGGATTTGGATAATTCGGACTTGTAGTCCTACCAGAAGTTTTTCCATCAGTTTCGATGGTTCTATTACAAGCTAAAATAATACTTTCAACAAAATAAGCTACAAATAGTAAATAATAACAAGAACGTGCAATAAGTTCAAAGCTGCTGCATAAAAAAGCAAAAAATAAAAGCTAGTTTTTTTTTTTTTTTTGCAGTTACAGTTTCAAATAGCATCAGAGTGACTAACAATCTAAAGTTTGATAATCGAGTGCGAACTGCGAGGTGAATTCGCTCTGAATAAACGTTACAGCTGTTATCTGTAAAAAAAAGCTTTCTATACGACTTATTTTTTGAGAAAAAAAAAAAAGAAACATGTGCAAAATGATAGTTAAGCAATTAGAGTAATATGTCGCTAAATAGTTTAAAAGATGAGAGTAATAAAAAGACAGTGTTTAAATGGCGTCTTAAACCTGTTTAAGGTGCCTGTTTATCAGAATCCACTTTTCAACTTTTGTGCTTTTGTATTTTAACGACTAAGGTCCTTATCACACTTCATTTAGATGAATCAAGTAATACTATCTATCCAGTAAAATATTCTGCGTCATTTCCTGCATTTCCTGACACCTAAGGCTTTCATAACACAATATTTGGTCAGGTAAAGCGTCCTGATAATGATTACATTGTTACAGATGGATCCTCTTACACATCCTCTTTAAAATCTAATTCGACAACAAGTTTCACCCCAAACTTGGAAAAACTGTCAATCTCGAAGAAAATTTTGAAATCTTTGAGGTCTTGGCATTCTATTTATATGACTATGCACTGAGGTATTCCACTAATCAAATCGTATCAGAGCAACTAAGTTGTCCTTATGAAATGTTGTGAAACATTGCATAAAGTTGCAAAACGCTAAGATGATAGCTCTTTCCGTTGCTCAGTCTAAAATAATGGCAAATCAAAAAGACTTCTGGTTTGTTTGAAATTCCATAAGTTCGAAACAATGGCTTTGCAGTACTTCTTCAGCTGATCTCACTGAATCAGAAACCATATGAGAACCCATTTGTTTTATCAACACGGCTGGCTGAAGTGAGTCCACCACAAATGAATTGTGGTTGGTATACACGTTGTATGTTTGGGTTTGTTTTTAACACCAAAAGTTTGTAAGGCTTCACTTATTATCTTGTAATGGGTAGTCATACATACTGAAACAGTAGAGCAATATCTTTAAAAATGATAGAGCTAAAATTCTAACCTCTACAATGCTAGTACGGGAAACAAATTCTCCTGGAATAGTGTTACCACAGTGTTTCAGGTACTGTGGTGTATCCTGCGCATTAGCACATGCCGGATGCTGACAATCTGCAGGAGTCCCAACATCCCGAATTTCAACGTAGGAATCAGCACAGCCAGACTCGCGGTACGGGAAATTGAATTTACTGAAAAGTCATGCAGCGTCATCAAGCCTTCTCAAAGCATCAACCACAGTT